CCATTCTTGCAAGTGGCATTGAGGCGTTACATCTATATATATATATACATATCTAGGACGTTGGGGGCTGAGATCGAAGTGGAACGGAGAGCACCCCACCGGGAAATCGGTTTCGGTTTCGTGTTCGTGCGTGCCGCGCGTGCGGGCGAGGCGAAGCTGCGCGGGCGGGCGAGAGGAAAGTCTCCTGTGGCTGAGGCGCGGCCGGACCAAATGATTCTCCCCCCGGCGAGCGGTGGCCCGCGGTGGCCCGCGGTTTCCGGCCAGTGTCCCGCGTGTGGCTGGGCCCCGGCCGGACCAAATGATTTTCTTTCTGGCAAGCGGTGGCCCGCGGTGGCCCGCCGGTGTCCCGGCGCCCCGCTGGTGCGCAAGCGATGGTGAGACCGATGACGAAATCGATTGTGCGATCGATAGTGAGATCGATAGTGAGACCGAGTGCGAGATCGATCGTGAGATCGATCGTGAGATCGATAGTGAGATGAATAGTGGCATCGGCTGTGAGATCGAGCGATATCGATACTGAGATCGTTAGTGGGATCGGTAGCGAGATCCAGAGTGAGATCGACAGTGAAATCGTCCGAGTGAGATCGATCGTGAAATCGGTCGAGTGAGATCGATAGCGGGATCGATGGTCCCGTCGATCGCGAGACCGATAACGACATCGCTTATAAGATCGATAGAGAGATCGATCGTGATATCGGTGGTGAGATCGGTCGAGTGAGATCGATAGTGTGCTCGGTCGACTGAGATCGATTGTGAAATCGATAGTGGGGTCCATTGTAAGATCGATTGGGTGAGGCGTTGGGCCCTCCCCCCCCCGAACAACTCGACGCCAAGGCTCCCGAGAGCGAGCGGCAACGCAACAATCACCACCGTTGCCCATTGCGGCGCCCCCCCAAAAAAACTCCTCATCGCCCGCAGAGTGGTCGCATAGGTGTGTATCGGAGGTGAGGGGGTGAGATCGAAGTGGGACGGAGAGCCCCCCTACCAGGAAATCGATTTCGGTTTCGTGTTCGTGCGTGCCCTGCGTGCGGGCGAGGCGAAGCTGCGTGGGCGGGCGGGAAGAAAGTCTCCTGTGGCTGAGGCGCGGCCGGACCAAATGTCTCCCTTCCGGGCGGCTGGTGGCCCGCGGTGTCCCGCCGGTGTCCCGCTGGTGTCCCGTGTGGCTGAGGCGCGGCCGGACCAAATGTCTCCCTTCCGGGCGGCCGGCGGCCCGCGGTGTCCCGCCGGTGTCCCGCGGTGTCCCGCGGTGTCCCGCGGTGCCCCGCGGTGTCCCGCCGGAGTCCCGCGGTGTCCCGCGATGATGATGATGATGATGATGATGATGATGATGATGATGATGATGATGATGATGATGATGATGATGATGATGATGATGATGATGATGATGGATGATGGTGATGGTGATGATGATGGTGATGGTGATGGTGATGGTGATGGTGATGGTGATGGTGTGATGTGATGATGGATGATGATGATGATGATGATGATGATGATGCTGATGATGATGATGATGATGATGATGATGATGATGATGATGATGATGATGATGCTGATGATGATGATGATGATGATGATGATGATGATGATGATGATGATGATGATGATGATGATGATGATGATCGAGTGAGATCGAGTGTGAGATAGATCGAGTGAGATCGAGTGAGATCGATTGTGAGATCGATCGAGGGAGATCGATCGAGCGAGACCGATACTGAGATCGATAGTGAGATCGATAGTGAGACCGATCGAGTGAGACGTTGGTTCCTCCCCCCCCGAACCTCCTTATCACCCGAAGGGTGGTCGTATAGGTATATAGATGTCCATATACACATATATATATATATATATATATATATATATAGGGGGGGGGGGGGGGGGGGGGGGGGGGGCAGCGCGCCGGGCCACCCGCAAGGGCGACGCCGCGGCGCCGAGGGCCATTGCCAGGAGAAGAGGATTAGGGGCAGTCAAACGCACCGAAGCGAGTCGCGCAAGTGGGGCAACGCGCGCGAGAGGGGCGCGCCAGTGCATCGAAACAGGCAGGTTCGCATTAGCACCGGACCAGTCACCGAGTGCTGAGCGATCCGAATCAAGCCTACGCCGCACGATACTCGCCCATTCTCAGTTCCCCCGGTCTCGTCGCCTGTGACTCACAACCACGGCGGGCGCAGGCATGTCCGACCTTGACGTCGCGCGGGCAACCAAGACGGCCATCAGTCACATCGCCATCGACCGCGAGACCCCGCGGGTCGCGTCCGAGGCGGCGGGGCTCAACTGAGGCGACGCGGCCAGGTGCGCGTTCGGGCTGAGCGGAGACGCTCGTGGCAGCCCCCGCCAGCTGGGCGCGTTGGGCGAGGGCAAAACCACGATGGCTCGACGCCCGCGCGTTCAGTTGCACGGCGCCGCCCGCGGCATGCGTCGCGTGGCCGGCGACTTGGCGACCAGCGGCGGCGGGCGAAGAACGCTGTTCCGGCCGCAGCCGAACGCGGCGAAGTCTAGGCCAGACGCATCGAAGGACTGCATGAGGGGGAGAAGAGCGAGATAGTCAGCGGAGAAGATGCAAGAAGGTCGGAACGCCTAGATACCGCATTGGCAACGAGAACCAGGGGCGCCGCGCTGGCAAGGAATCCGGGCCAGCGAGCCGCTCGGCATACGTGGGCCGCCCAGCAGGTTCATCAGTTGACGTCGTCCAGCAGCTCGCCCTGGTTGGCCACGCAGTCGGGGGCCGGGGCAACCCGCCCGACGCGGCCGCGGGGGCGGCGCCCAGGGCGGCCCCCTCGGAGCCGCCACCTGCGAAGGCAGCTCCGAGGACCGAGGGCCCCGCCGCCGCCGGGCCCGGCCGTCCGAGCCACGGCGGCGCCCGACTCCATCGAGGAGCGCATGGGGCGCGATCGCAATCCGCGGCGAAGCCCCGGGCATGTCGCCGCCGTCGCCTGCGGGAGATCCATCGCCTGCCGATGGCAGAGGTAGCCGAGCGCGAGTGGGCTCAGGGAGGAGCAGTGGATCTGGCGGTGACTGGGGATGGCCAGTCGCCGCCGGGAGCTCCCGCGCCTCCGCCGCCCGTAGCCCCCCAGAGGCAAGGCGCCGCGCGCAGCGCGGACCTGGGCGCCAACCCTGATTGAGGTAAATCGAGGCGGGGTCGAGTCACGCTTCGAGTTCCTGGCAGTCACAGGAGCGCCCCCCACTCCGATCCCGACAGCCGCGGGAAGAACGACCGCAATGCGCGGCTCATTCAGAGGGCAAGGTCGATGTGGGAAGCGCAGACGGTCGGATGGATCAGCCATGTGCCACGTGGCTTCATGGGTCCAGAAGCGGGCAGTCGTGCCGGCTGACGCGCGCCGGCTGCGCCGCGCAACGACTCGTTCAAAGTCTTGCGCGGCGGCGCGTGCCGCGCGTCTCGTCGCGTTCCTTCTTGGAGGGCCCCGGGGCTTGCGGGGCGGCCATGTCGGAACATCGGCTACAGGAGCGCGACGCGTGGGTCCGCAGAGCATGCTTTCCGATGGTCGAGGCAAATGCCTGGGCCCCGTGGTGCCGAAAATGGTACCCGCGGCGATTCGCGACTCGGGTATGAAGCATTACGCTCAGGTATACGTCCAAAACGTACCAGGGTAACAGGAGCAGAAATTCGTCAGCGTGCCCACCACTTGGTTCGAAATGTTGTGGCGCGGCAGCCCCGGTGCGATCGGCCTCAGGTGCTTCTGCAACTGGATAACATTCGATAACCAACGTGTGACATTCCGACGCCGTCGCCAAGAAGCCGACAAGTTATTCCGGGGACCTGGTGGACCTGTGACCGATCACAAGGCACTAAACCAAGGTGACCGCAGCCATGTGCGACGATAGGAAGTCCCGCCTCATTGGTGCCCGTGCTTGGCGCGACTGGGTTCACCAAGGGGTTCGTTACCACGGTGGTGGTTCAGAGGAGGAGGCCTTCTGACATGCCAATTTACCAGCGGAGGGTTACGCCCTGTTGGCCCACTACTAGCATCGGACAGCCGGTCCATGCACGGGAACCGGATCTGACCACAGGGCCGTGGCAGGGGCCCCCCAGTCGCGCCGTCACTGCGTCGCCCAGGCGAAACCTTTTGGGTGGCAGTCGGGCGTCACCACGGTGTCCACGACCTGACCGTCGAGAAACTCGCGGAGTGTTTCGACGTCATCAAGATGAGTGCTTGTCAGGACTCTGATGAGGAGTTCAACCCCTGGGAAGCCGACGAGACAAATAGGGCATGCTATCTTCACAAGATGCTCGGCCGCATGCGGCGCATGCAGGATATTCGAGGTATCTAAAAGGGCATAGCAGGATGGCCAAGTCGAGGTCCACGCGCCCGGACCGCTGAGCAAATCACCAATTACTTGAGTCATACGTCCTTCGCCTCCTCGTTTCCCGCTGTCAGCATGAGCAGCGCCGCCGTGGCATAAAAATCAGAGCGGCGATCCCACCGTAATGCAAACCACCTTGTATGCAGCTTCGCCGCACTATAAAATTGTTCAGTCCCTTGCCGCATCTGTATATTACTCATTCGATTCGTTGAACCGGCATCTGTCTGTCACGGGTTTTTTTTTTGACTCGTCGAGGTTGCTCCGATTTGCGTGCGACATGTACCACGTCATTCAAAGAGCGCGCGTGGCAAGTCCGCATCAGGCCCAGAGGAGATGTTTGGATATCGCCCTCCAGTTACTGCCCAGTCTGCCGTTTAGCCTGAGTGCTTCAGCCTGCCATTTGGCGGCGCCAGTTGCACTTGCATGTGCCCTTCACTTGCGTAGAGCAACGCAGAGTTTCATTTTAGTTATTATTGTTCTTGACAAGTTGCATCAGGAGGGGGGTAGGAGGAAAGGAGGAGGAAAAGGGAGGAGGAGGAACAAGAGGGGTAGAAAGGGATACGAGGAAGAGGGAGAGGAAGAGGAGGTGGAGCAGGAGGAGGAGGAGGAAGGATGGGAGAGGGGGGGGAGGGGAGGAGGAGGAGGGCCGCCGATATCCCCACTCGGGCTGGCTCCCCGAGGTGCTCGCCGCGGCGTCCTCGACGGTGCCGTCCAAGGCGTCCGCCGCCTCCAATAGGTCCGCCCCCGCGCTGCAGCTGCCGGTCGCGGGAGCGGCCCGGCTGGGCGCCCGGCCGGGCGAGAAGGCTAGCCGCCGCCTGTTCTGTGGGCGGAGGGTCTCTGGGCCGGGCTAAGGGCGTCCACGGGTGGGGCGAGGATTGGGTCAGGGGCAGCGTTGGTCAGGAGGGGAAAAAACACACAGACACAACGAATCGTCGATTCCCCAGAAAATATGGGAAAATATGGGACGTGGGGGGGAAGACAAACACCCAGAAAATATAGGAAAATATGGGGAATCCTTTTATTTAATCGCTTCGCTCATTCCGCCGGCCCATACAGTCTCATGTCTGCCGTTTGCCCGAGGGCCTGGTGTCAATGCGGCGCTTTGGGGGTTCCTGGGGCGCTCGGGGGGGCATTTGGGGGGCCTCCTGGGGCCGCTTGGGGGACTCTTGGGGGCCTCCTGAGGGCCTCGTCGGGGCCTCTTGGGGCCTCTGAGGGGCCTCTTGGGGCCTCGGAGGGGCTTCTTGGGGCCGAGGGCTGGAAATGTTGTTTCGTGTTCCCTCTCTTGGGGCGTTCTTGGGGCCCTCTTGGGCCGTCTTGGAGGCTTCTTGGGCCGTCTTCGAGCCCTCTTGGGCCATCTTGGGGCCCTCTTGGGGGCCTCTTGGGCCCTCTTGGGGCGATCTTGGGGGCCTCTTGGGCCGTCTTGGGGCGTCGGGAAGCCGAAAAGGTGGAAGCTCCAAAATCTTTCAAAAACCTAAGGAAAATCAATGAATTTTGCCTCCGGGGCCCTCTTGGGAGTGCTCTTGGAGGCCTCTTGGGGCGTCTGGGGGCTATCTTGGGCGTCTTGGAGCGATCTTGTGGCATGTCGGACCCCTCGTGTACCATCTTGGGGGCCTCTTGGGGGCCTCTTGGTTTTGTTTGGGTCCTCGGGGACGTTTTCGGAGCCCTGTTGGTGCGCTCATGGGGCGCTCGGGGGGACCCGGCCGGGACCTGGTCGGGGTACTTTTCGTCCGGGGACCCCCAGGGGCCGCCCCGCGCGCGCGAACTAGAGAATTGTTAACCAGTTACCGGAGATCTTAGCACGCCTCTGGCCCGTTGGGCCGGCGAATTTGTGTGTATTGATTTGTGTGTCGCAGGGCCCCTTGAGTTGGGGACGATGGGCTCGGAGGGGGCAGCGTTGACTCCCAGTCACCCACTGATCGCCGATGGGGGCCCGATGGCTCGCCCCGCCCGAAAAAACTTGCGGATTCGCCCGCGGGCGCCTTGCGCCGATGCAACGGCAATGCGTCGCCGATTCGAGCTCGATGTTTCCCCCCTGGAGCTGCCCCTCGCTGAGGGTGTGCGCTTGTCACGGCCGAGGCCATTACTTTCTCTGTTCTTTCAACGCATCCTCTGGCCCCATTCGTCCGCGCACATGATTCGGGTCATGATGCGCGACCCCGAAGTGCCCTGGGGAAGTCGCCGTCGCCGAGGAGCCAGGGCCTCGGGAGGCCTCTGGACGGGGAGGTGAGCAAGAGCAGAGGAGGAGGAGCGAAGATCCTGCCGACCAGTTCCGCCGACCCTTCAGACGTGGCCCACCCGCTTGGCCTGTAAGCGGGGCCGGTCGCGAGGATATGTGTCGATCCCTGTTGCCTGGCACACCGCTTACGCTCACGGTCTCGCTCCTCCAACTTCAGTACACCAGCTGCTGGGAGCTCGGGGCACCCCCCCTGGAAGACTGAAGGCGGCACTGCGTAAGATCCTGCCGACCGAATCCGCCGGCCCTTCGGCGTGTGTGGGACGCTGTCGTCGTCGTCGTCGTCGTCGTCGTCGCCAGATCTCCGGGGAGGAGGGAAGGAGGAGGAAGATGAAGAAGAGGAGGAGGAGGAAGAGCAGGATGGACGACCAGTGTAAACCTAAGATGTATCAACGATGTTGCAATGCGCCTAACTTCCAGCTTTCCTCTTCGTATCTCCCTTCCAGACTATATGTTCCGTGCGGGAAGTGCCCCATTTGAAGACAACCGTTCTAGAGTTCCCAAGCATGACAAAGCACCCTTCCTGGGACTTTAACGCTGCGCTGGAACGCCACTCCAAGGACTTCCGCCGCGAATGGAGATGACTGCTGCGTCCTGACTCCTCATGCGTGTCAGAACACCACTCCAGGGACTTTAACCCTACGAGTTCTTGAAACCGCTGCAAACTTTTAGAGCGAATGCGCGTGGCGCCTATGCGGAAGCCATATTTAGAAAACGGGCCGGCCTCCATCTTTTCAATGGTTGCGGGCTTTTGAGACCAATTTGGGCCGGGCCGAGACGAGAGCCACAGCTCGAACATGGCCCGCCCTCCAACCTTGAGGCTGCTACCGGCCTCCATCTGTTAAATGGTTGCAGACTTTTGAGACCCCTTTGGGCCGGGCCGAGACGTGAGCCACAGCTCGAACATGGCCCGCCCTCCAACCTTGAGGCTGCTACCACCTTTTGAAGCCGAATGTGCGCGGCGCTAGGCGAGAGTGAAGCCGAATGTGAAACCTTGAAGCGGGCTTTTGAGACCAGCTTGGGCAGGGCTGAGACGAGAGCCACAGCTCGAACATGGCCCGCCCTCCAACCTTGAGGCTGCTACAATCGGGGAACGAAGTCTATACATATCCACTGCTCCCTGGCCAGGCCCATCCTGAACCCAGGAGCTGTGTATACGCCCTCCTGGCCAAACCAGGAGGGCGTGGCGTATACACAGCTGCTGTGTTCAGGATGGGCCTGGCCAGGGAGCAGTGGATATGTATACACCTTAGGCGATGCTTAAGAAAATCTACGTGTTCGGCCAGAGTCTCCGACTATCCTTAATGTTTCAATGCAAATCTTAAGATTTTAATCGATCTTCATGTTTTATATCAAATTCTGAGATTATGAATTTCTTAACCCATGATTTCTTAAGCATTTCGCAGGGTGTAGATTGCGTCGCCCTAGACAACCGGTGCAGCCGAGTGTGCGCGGCGCTCAGCGCGAGAGCCGCACGCTGCAGAGGGCCCGCCCTCCGTCCGAGAAGCCGCCCGGCGCCGAGGCCGGAGCCACGCGTGGAGGGCGTCGCGCCCTCCAGGGTTGGGACTGCTGCAGGCTCCTCCTCCTCCTCCTCCTCCACCTCCTCCTCCTCCTCCTCCTCCTCCTCCTCCTCTTCCTCCTCCTCCTCCTCCTCCTCCTTCTTCTCCACCTCCTCTTCCTCCTCCACCTCCTCCTCCTCCTCCTTCTTCCTCCTCCTCCTTCTTCCTCCTCCTCCTCCTCCTCGTCCTCGGGTTTAAGCCAACGTGCGCGGCCCTGAAGTGAGATTCCGATTCTCAGATACAGTATTCTGAGAAGGGCCCGTCGCCCATTCCTGGAAATATTGCTGCAAGCTTTTGCGACACGTGTGCGCGGTGCTGAACCGAGAACTGCATTTTTAAGTCGGGCCTGTCCCTCTACAGGGGGAACACTTTTTCACAAAAGAGTCTGGGGACGATTTGGCTGACTATTTGCGAATCTGTTTGGAATATTGGCTTGGTACCTTTAACTTTTCATCCAAAATCCGCCTGTAGGGGGTCATGCCCGACAAACTACATGTTGGAAACGGTCCACCCTCCATCTGTGAAACTGTTGCAGATTGCAACCTTCAGGGGCATAAGTGGTGTTGAGGAAGTCGCAGGCGAGACGGCTGGCCCGCCCTACGGAGCACGCCTGGAGGCGCGACAGGGAGGAGCTATTCCCCAGACGGTGCCTGCACCTAGGGTTCAGTCGGGCCTGTCCCTCTACAGGAGGAACCTTCAAACATACGCAGAACATGCTATGGAGGCGATTTTCGGAGCACTGCTCTGCCAATTTGGGGCATTTTTTAAAAGGTATTTGCAATTTTTTCCATCCAAAACCCGCCTGTAGGGGGGCATGCCCGACCCAAACCTGGGGTTTCCTCCGCCTCCTCCAAGGAACCGGGCCTGGGGTGCTGGTCGGGCGGTCCCGTGGTCGCCGTGGCCGCCGCGTCGCCGCTGCGTTGCCGCCCGTCGTCTGCTCGGCATCGCCCGGGCGTGTGCATTGTTTCCTTCGGCGAGGGCCATCGAGGAGCATTTCGGTGGATTTTCTTTGGTGGTTCCTTTGCAGAAGTTCAAGCGAGATGCCTGATAGCATTGCACCAAATGCTTGATCATTTGTCGAGCAAAATGCCGAATGCTCCTCGATCCGAGCAGAAAGGATTTTCCGATCATTTTCTTTGGTGGTTCCTTTGCATTTTGCCGAAAGAAATGCCGAAGCATTTCTTTCTGCAAATGCTTGATCATTTGCCGAGCATTCTCTTTCGGTGGAGGGCAAAAGGTGAAATCTGAAGTGCCGTTTCGACGGATGCTCGAGGCTGGAATTCGCAAGGGGCGAATCGCAAGACGGATTGGTCTTCGAGGTGCAGAAGCCCACCTGGATTTCACCCTGAGCCCTCCACCCTGAGAACATGCTCAGATTTGACAACAAAAAAAAAGAAACAAAAAACGCACGAAACCCAACAAAGCACAGGGAAGGGACGACCGAGCGATGGCCAGGCTGGGCCCGGGTGCCCGCGTGGCGGATCGGTGGCCCTCCCCGTCGCCGCCTCGTCGCCGCCCACCTCCTGGGCCTGGGTGCCGGTCTGGAGAGGCTCCGCGGTCGTCGCCGCCGCCCCGACGCCGCCTCGCCGCCGCCCGTCGCGTGGGCCTGGGCGCCGGGCTGGCGGCTCCGTGGTCGCTGTCGCCGCCTCGCCGCCGCCCTGTCGCCGCCCGCGCCTGCACAACATAGACCGCACCGCAAAGACTGCACCACAGAGACTCTGCTTTCTGAAAAGAGAATAAATGCCCCCCCCCCGCGATGATCGCCCCCCCGTTTCGTATCGCAACTTGCATCTGATTCTGCCCCTATCGTCCATCCGAAATATGAATTCGTGCCATGCCAAGCAGGCCGGTGTCGGCCCCCCCCCCCTGCCATCCTTAGCAAACGAAAATTTTGCGTGCGCACTCGCGCATCCCAAATCAGGATCCCTTGCACAAACAATGACGAAGTGCACACGCGCGCGTTGTCGCACGCGCATGCCGTAATCTTTCAAAAACATTCGGCTTCGTAAGGGTTTCAAAATCAAGTGTCTAGCATTCATATAAGAACACATCGTTTCGCAACGTTGATTCTTCCTCTATCCGAAGAGAACGTGCGCCCGCATTCTTGCGAATTCTCCAGAAAGCATTGGTTTTCAACATATTGAGACAATACTACCGAACGGGCTTCGCGCTCGCATGTCGATATCGTTCGACCGCCCTTGCGCGCGTGCCGTCGCGAGAATCCTTTGCAAACAAGCCGAAATCCGTCCAAAACCTTTTGTTTTCGAATTCCAATTCAAAACCGAAGGTCCAACACACATACAAAAAACAAGGATTCACAACATCAGTTTTCAAACAAACGCGCGCTCTTGCGCATTCTTCAGACAACCGTAGGTTTTCAAGATTTTCCACAGGGCTCTGCCAAGCGAGTCTCTGGCCGACATCATTTGCACACCTTTGCGCGCGCGCTGGGGGGGGCACAGTCCGTGTCAAATGGATCCATGCGGGCCACTCTCGCGCGTCGGCCGCGCGCGCATGTCGAATTGTTTTCCAAAACCTTCATCACCGACGCGAGGACGCCGTCATCGTCGTCGGCGTGATTAGCATCGGCGTCCGCACTGGCCGCGCCTTCGTCGGTGTCAACATCCTCAGCAGCATCGCTAGTATCGTCATCGTTTCTACCGCTGTCGACGTTGCCATGATGCCGCGCCAGCCCAAGTCACCGACTCGTTGTGGAGTGCCCGCTGGGATGTGCCCAGCGGTCACGCCACCGTGGCCGCGTCGGTGGCGCCAAACTGGCTGGCCGCTGCGCGCGCGTGCTTGGGTTGGCGCGGCCGTTGAGATGCACCAGCCGACGCCACGCATGCATCGCAATCGCCACCTGGTGGGTTTTGCAAACCAAGGTGTTGGTGGGTGGTTGGTGTGTTTGCAAAAGCATGGGATGTGTCAACTCTTTTGCTAAACTCAAATTGCACCATGTAGTTTGCACCACACAGACTGCACCAAACTATGTTGCACAAACAAAGTTGTATTGCGCAGATTGCACCACATGGTTTGCACACCATATATCGCACAACATATTGTGCCGAACGCGGGTTGAACCACATGGGTTGCACCACGTAGATTGCACCACATAGATTGCACAGCACCTATCACACCGCAGAGACTGCATTACTGGGATTGAACCGCATGGGTTGCACCACGTAGACTGCAATACATATATATATAAACACATATATATATACGGATCACATCATACATGTTGTACATCATAAATTGCATCACGTATATGGCACCACATAGTCTGCGCCACCTGAGTTGCACCACGTTTGTATTATATGTGTATGTGTGTATCTGTAGGTGTGTTCATATGCCTATACACATAGTATACCACGCAGATTGCACCGCAGGGCTTGACATCGATTCAGTCGTATTAATCGAAGCGCATATATCGCGCAATATGCAGTGCACAACATACACTGCCTAACCAAATTCGTTTAGGTCCACATTCGTTTAGTCTGTAACGAATGGAGGACGAGGAGGAGGAATATAGCAGATAAGTCATGTATGTTGGAAGTAGACGATAAGCGTCGCAGTGCGTTTAAATCGAGTACGCACGCATGTGAAAACAGATGTGTCTGTGACCTCTGAGGGCCTCCGTGGACTTCGGGGACCCCCAGAGATCCCGGCGAGGATGTGGAGGTCTGGACGCGAGTACAAGAGGTCAGGGCCGAGAGGGTGGCATGCGGGAGCCTTCATAGAGTGGATCGCCCTTTCCAGACCCGTGCAGTCCTACATGCCCCACGCTCCCGGAATATAAGTGAGTAGTCCCTCTCGGAAGGTCGCCCAAGTGGCCCTGGGAGAAATTCTGGGCGCAGCCAAGGGGAAGGAAAAGAGGAGGGAGAAGAGGAGCAGGAGGCGAAGGCGGACGAGCAGGAAGGTTGGAGTACGTGGTGGAGGAGGAGGAGCACCGAGGAGAAGGAGGAGGACCGAGGCGAGAAAGTAGGAGAAGAAGTACGCGAAGCAGTGGGAGGAGGGATGAAGGTAAGACCTGAGAAGGAGGAAGGTAAGACCGGGCATGCCTTAGTAACGTCAAAGCACCTACTCGGGTGATCTACGCGCTATTGCCAACATCAGGAGGAGGAGGAGGAGGAGGAGGAGGAGGAGGAGGAGGAGGAGGAGGAGGAGGAGGAGGAGGAGGAGGGGAGGACCGCGGAGGAGCAAGAGCAGGAGGAGGAGGGGAAGGCCGACGAGGCAGGTGAGGAGGGGAGGACCGAGGAGGAACTGCAGTGGCGGTGGAGGGAGGCACAGGAGGATGGAGGAGGAGAGAGAGGAGGGAGGGAGGGAGGGGAGGAGGCCAGAGCGAAGAGGCCTGGCAGCCTGCCAGCGGAGCGCCCGCGCTGCCCGCGGTGCCGGGGGTCGCCGGCAGGGCTGCGCAGCCCTGACAGCGAGCGTGCGCGCGCGCGGTCGTCGCTTCCCGCCGCCGCTCGAGATCCTCTAGGCATCCCAGATTGGGTCGGAGTAGATGGGGTCGGAGGATCGCGCCGCATCGCCGATGCACCGGCGATGTGGCTCGATGAGGGGTCCAATTTCCTCCGCGCCGACGTCGCCGATGCATCGCCGACGCCGCTGATGCATCGCTGGTGCATCGCCGATACATCGGCGGTGTATTGGCGATGCGGCGTGATCCTTCGACCCAATCTACTCGGACCCCAGATAGGAGGCCTCTAGGTCCTGGTGCCGCTAGTCTTCCCCTGTGCAGTTGCCCTGACAATTACGCCCGTGTTGGAACGAAGCTCGTACCGCGTTCAAACAATGTCCGTGCCAACAGGCTGCGCGCTGGCTCGGCGCGTGCTGTCCCACGTTTTGGCGAGCGTATCGCGCCAGACCTGCGTGTTCAGTCAGCGCGTGGAGCTCCGTGCCAACACGCTGCGGGTTGCGTGCTGCGTATCGTGGCAGGCGGCCTGGCCGACGAGGCCCGCTGGCATTGCTGGTGCACCCAATCGGTTTATTCGTCGAGGGGCTGGTGCGGCATTTTCATCGGGGGGGGGCGTGGTACTCTCAGCTTGCCCGAACTGGGGCTTGCCGCCGCTTTTCGGTGGTCACGGCATGGGCTTTGACGGCGCAGCTTCCGTGGGATGTTTGCAGCGAGAGTTCGCGTCAAAGTTCAACGTAGAGCAGCCAGTCGGTGCAATCATTCGCTGAGGGCTGGGTCGGACGAAAGGGGGGGGGACTGGGAAACGGAGGGGGCACAGTCTGCTGCACGCAGACGGTTTCGGCCCCGCCGGGCGCCTTCCTCGGCACGTTCTACGTTAGCTGATTCGGTCACGAAGCAGGTCTCGCACAGGAGCGAAGCCTGCTACGTTAGCAGGGCCGCGGGTGTGGTACGTGAGCTGACCCGCCCACTGCTTCGTAGTTGAAACGGAGATTTGCTCGCCTCCTTCTGTCATCCCCTCCCCCTTTTCGTTCGACCCGACAGGAGCTGCTGCAGCGTTTTTGTAGTGCAGCCTCTCGGCTGGGCCTCTTGTGCTCGACAGGTCCAGGCGGCGGCGGCGGCTCCTCATCCTCGGCGGCGAGCGCGTGGGGGAAGTGGGAAGGAGACGGCGGAGACGGCCTTCTCCGAAGGCCCAGAAGCCCCCCGGGCTTCTATGAGAAGTTTTCGAATCCCTTCCCCGAAGGCGGAGAAAACCTGTCGGGAGGCGCGAGGGCTTCTGTGAAGGCCCGCCGCCTTCTGAGACGGCCTTCTCTTTCTCACCTCCTTCCCTCGCTCGCCGCCGACGTCCCGCTCTCGTCCTCTCCGCCGATCTCTTCCTGCTCGCCCCCCTGTGTCCGGCTGCTTCTCCTCCCTGGTCCTCCCGCGCCCGCCTCCAGCTCACCTGTGCGCCCTGTTACGCGCCCGCGCACCCTGGGCGCCCCGGCGAAGAGGAGAGGAGAGGGAAGAGGAGAAGGAGGGTGAGGATAAAAGGAGTCTCGCCTGCTCGTCTCGGAATCGTCATCGTCCTCATCCTCCTCCTCCTCATCCATGTTCCGTGCTTCGCCTCGTGGGTCGTTCCGAGCTCCCTGGGCCGTGCCCGCCGCCGAAGCAGCCAAACAGCGGCTTGTGCCTCTCTCTCTCTCTCTTTCTCATTCGTCTCAGCCGGGCTGCCCGGTCTCGGCCCCATGCAGGGGTGCTGGGGGCCGGTAGGTCACCAGGCACAGCCAGGCCCTGGGTCAGCCGTGTGGACCCTGGCCAGGTTGACCAGTTTCAGAGCCCCGAGCCATCAGGGGTAACTCGGGTCAGGGCTATCTCGGGTTCCCTTTTCGGGAATCCAAACCCGAGTTACCCCGGACCCGAGTTACCCCGGATAACTCGGGCGTCCAGAGCCCCACATCATCAGGGGTAACTCGGGTCAGGGCTAACTCGGGTTCCTTTTTCGGGAATCCAAACCCGAGTTACCCCGGACCCGAGTTACCCCGGATAACTCGGGCGCCCAACAGTTGTGCATGGAGAGGGTTGACATCAGGACGCCGATGGCCTTGTCGATGGAGCTTCAATGTCTGCAGTTCTCGGTGCTCGAAGTCGCGCCTGGCTTGGTCATTGCGAGGGTGAAGGAGGCTGCCTAGCTTACCTCGGACGGTCATTCGCTCGGAAGGTTGGACGGGGATGGTCTTTCACGGGGGGCCTGTCGGCCATCTTCTCCGCAATGCCATCAGTGAACTGTAAGCGCTTCACCACAAGGCAGCGCTGAGGAGTCTGGTGGGAGGATCTCATTGGCCGCAGGCTAGATGATTCACGCACGGCAAAGCGCTACATTGCACAGGTCTACTCTGTGGCGGGCACGCCTCGCTCTTCCATCGTTACTACGAGTGTCATTTCATCGAGGGGTATCGCAGAGACGAGTGCCTGCAACATGTGCGGGCGGCTGCAGCAAGGGCGAGGGCCAAAGGGCCAGAAGTTGCGGAGCTGATCTCCAGATGTCTCTTTCTTTCCCCAGTGCGTTGTTTCCTTGTCCAGGAGCCCCCCAGGAGGATCAGTCCATCTGGATCGGGCCCACATGTGTGCTGGACGTTTTGTGGAAAGGTCTGCGTGGATGGATATGTGTTCATTCTCGCTGTTCGGGCCTGTCCAGAGCTGGCTGGGCCACGGTTCAGTTTAACCCTGGTGGCCAGTTTACTGCTTGCTGTCTCGGAGTTGTTCCTTCAGCCACAAGTGGCACAATGTGGAGAGGACAGGTCGTTTCAAGTTTTGGCCAAACCGAAGGCCCGCTGGCCGTCCACGCAGAGTGTGCTGGCTCGATCGAGCGCGCAGTCGATCCAGTGTGGCCCTCGACACCATGAGCAGTAGAGGGCATCTCTAGGTTCGCTGGTGGGATAGGATCGGTTCATCCGGGGCCCCTGTCGTCAGAATGAACGTTTGTCAGGCGAATCGCTGGCTGAGCACTGGGCGAAGCACTGGGCGAGCACTGGCAGTGAATCAGGGCTGAGCACTGGGCGAAACGTTTATCAGGCGAACCGCTGGCTGAGCGCTGGCAGTGAACTGGCTGAGCACTTGGCGAAGGAAGGGGGCCAGAGATGGTCGGCCCCAGCAGCTAACTCTTTCACGTGGAGCCGAGGCCGTGGCGTGTGATGCATCTAGATGGCAAGCCAGGGCCCAACAGCTTTGTGTCGATGATGGTCTCGTTGACTCCGCGGGCGTCGTTGGGCCTCGGACTCGTCATCCGAGCTTACGCCGAAGGAGTGGGGCTCGACCGAAGAGGCTGCGCGGGATGCTGGCGCTTCCCCGTGGGAGAGTGTGGCGGGGGAGGGTCCCTGACGGGGGGGGGGGCCTCCTCGGCTGCTGCTCGCCCTGCCCCGCCTCGGCCGCCTCCCTCGCCTGCTGCTGCAGCTGCGGAGCCCGAAGAGGAGCCCCTGCCGGCCCTCTCGGGGGCCCCGTGGGAGCTCCCTCCTCCCTCCTCCCTCCTGCCTCCTCCCCCTCCCTCCTCCCTCCTCCCACCTCCCTCCCCCCTCCCCCCTCCCCCCTCCCCCCCTCCCCCCTCCCCCCTCCCCCCTCCCCCTCCTCAGCCAGCACCCTGGTTCCGGCCTCGGTGGTTCCCGTGGGGCAGGGATCCCCGCCAGTGCCAAATTTGGTGGCAGGTCTTGCGAAGCATGGGTGCACAAGAACGCTCGGTCGGGGGAGGAGCTGGACGGGGTGTGCCCGGGGGAGGAGCGGGACGGCGGGGCTGCGTTCGCAGCGCCTCCGCCTGCTCCGAGGGCTCGCCCGTCGGTCCGCCGCCCGCCTCGTGAACGCGCGCGGGCCTTCGGCGGGCGTCATCGCCGACGGGGTCCATCGCATCCCGCCCCTCACGGCATTCGCGCGAGCGGAGGAGGCAGGAGGCGGAGAGTTTCACTCAGACCGCTCGGCATACGGGACCGAGGTCTGTATGTTGCAGGGTCTTGTCTTGATGTTGCAACGTTGCGCGGTTTCAGATTTCCCTCGGATGTGGTGGCTGTTGCAGGTTCTCTGAGAGCCCATGGGTGAGGAATTTGTTTCTCTGAAGGGGCCTACCGACTGGCAGGCGCGGACTGATCTGCGGAGGGGGGCCCTGCCCCACGTGGCCAGCACAATTTGCACACCCTTCCTTCTCCTCCTCCTCCTCCTCCTCCTCCTCCTTCTCTTCCTCCTCCTCCTCCTCCTCCTCCTCCTCCTCCTCCTCCTCCTCCATCCCTTCCCCTTCTAGATAACTCCTGTCATGCCCCAAGACGTGTCAGTAGAGCGGGCTTGGCGTTTCGCTTGAGATTTCCTCGCCATAGATGGCCCTAGAGCTTGGAACTTGCAGCAGCCTCACTGGTGTGGGGCGGGCCATTTTCAAATCATGGCTCTCGCCTTCGAGCCGCGTAGATTTGTCTCAAAAGATTGAAACCGCTTCACGGGTGAGGGACGGGTGGTCATCGCCTCAGCGCCGTGCAACTTAGCTTTCAACGCATGCAGCAGCTTCACGGATGGACGGCGAACGGTGTTCGAACTGTGGTTCTCGCTTTAGCGCCGCGAGCATTCGTTTCAACACAGTGCGAAGTTTCACGGATGGGCGGCGGGTGGTTTTCAGCATGTCTGTTGCGTACATTTGTTTAAGATGTAGGGCAGTTTCACGACTGGGGGGGCCGTGTTCAAAATGTGGTTCTCGCCTTCGCGCCTCGCACACGCGTCTGAACAGTTCCCAGCAATTGTCATGTATTCATGCGGGATGAGCCCCACGCGTCGTGTCTTGGCACGGTATAGGATTATCAGGGTTCAGCAGCCACTTTGATCAGCGGCGTTGAAGTTGCAGGATGCGGTGTTTTGGCAACGCCGATGATCTTCAGGCGGTTGTTCCCAACCATCCTGTGGTGTTGGGTCCTCGTTTTGAAGAGACGTTGCCCCGCGTTCCTCCTCCTCCTTCCTCCTCCTCCCCTTCCTCCCCCCTCCTCCCCCTCCCACACCCATTCTGGCACACCCCTCACACGTTTCGTGGCCCCATAGGGAGCTCCACCGAAGGCCCCAGTGGCTGCGCCCGCATGCGGTTCCACCCCCCATTCTGGCACACCCCTCACACGTTTCGTGGCCCCATAGGGAGCTCCACCGAAGGCCCCAGTGGCTGCGCCCGCATGCGGTTCCACCCCCCATTCTGGCACACCCCTCACACGTTTCGTGGCCCCATAGGGAGCTCCACCGAAGGCCCCAGTGGCTGCGCCCGCATGCGGTTCCACCCCCCATTCTGGCACACCCCTCACACGTTTCGTGGCCCCATAGGGAGCTCCACCAAAGGCCCCAGTGGCTCCCGCATGCGGTTCCACCCCCCATTCTGGCACACCCCTCACACGTTTCGTGGCCCCATAGGGAGCTCCACCGAAGGCCCCAGTGGCTGCGCCCGCATGCGGTTCCACCCCCCATTCTGGCACACCCCTCACACGTTTCGTGGCCCCATAGGGAGCTCCACCGAAGGCCCCAGTGGCTGCGCCCGCATGCGGTTCCACCCCCCATTCTGGCACACCCCTCACACGCTTCGTGGCCCCATAGGGAGCTCCACCGAACGCTCCAGTGGCTGCGCTCGCATGCGGTTCCACCCACCATTTCGGCACACCCCTCACACGCTTCGTGGGTGGTTCCATGGGGAGCTCCACCGAAGGCCCCAGTGGCTGCGCTCGCATGTGGTTCCCACCCCCCATTTCGGCACACCCCTCACATGGTTCGTGGCCCC